TGTTTGTAGAATTCAGCAGTGAAGCTATCAGCGTCCAGGGATTTCTTTACCGGAAGACTTTTTATTATGGTCTCGATTTGTATTGCTTGTTATTGGTCTGTTTCGGTTTTTAATTTCTTTATGGTTCAGTCTTGGTACACTGCATGTGTCTAGGAATTTATCTGTTTCTTCTAGATTTTTCTATTTATGGGCTTATAGTTGCTCACAGTAGCCATTAATGATCCTTGGAATTTCTGTGATACCAATTGTAATGTCTCCATTTTCATCTCTGATTTTACTTCATTGGGTCTTCTCTCTTTTTTCTTAGTGTGGCTAAAGGTTTGTCAATTTTATCTTTTCAATAAACTAAATTTTTGTTTCATTTTTCATTTGTATTACTTTCTTCATTTCAAATTCACTTATTTCTTCTCTGATGTTATTTATTTCCTTCTACTAATTTTGGGTTTGGTTTTCTAGTTCTTTAAGATGCATCATTAGGCTATTTCTTTGAAGTTTTTCCCCTTTTTTGATGTAGGCACTTACTGCTATAAATTTCCCTCATAATACTGCTTTTGTTGTATCCCTCAGGTTTTCTATGCTCTGTTTTCATTATCATTTGTTTCAATAAATTTTTGTCAATTTTCATCTTAATTTCTTCATTGGCCCACTGGACATTTGGGAACATATTGTTTAATTTACATGTTTGTATAGTTTTTAAAATTTCTATTGTTCCTGATTTCTAGTTTTATTCCCTTGTGTTCAGAGAAGATGCTTTATATCATTACAATTTTTTAATGTTTTAACACATTTTGCAACCTACTATATGGTCTGTCCAAGGGAATAATCTATGTCCTGAGGAGAAAAATGTGTGTTCTGCAGCCATGGGATGAAATGTTTTGTAAATATCTATTAGGTCTATCTGCTTTATAGTACAAATAAAGTCTGATTTTTTTTGTTGTTGAGTTTCTGTTTCGGAGATCTGTTCGGTGATGAAAGTGGGATGCTGAAGTCTCTGGGTATTATTGTATTGAGGTTTATTTCTCTTTAGCTCTAATAATACTTGCTTTATATATCTGGGTGCTTCAGTGTTGGGAGCATATATATTTATAATTATTACATCATTTTGCTGAATTGACCCCTTTATCATTATATAGTGAGCTTCTTTGTCTCTTCTTACAGTTTTGTCTTGAAATCTGTTTTGTCTGATATATGTATAGCTACTTCCGCTCATTTTTGGTTTTTGCTGGCATGGAACATCTTTTTCCATCCCTTTATTTTCAGTCTGTCTGTCTTTATTGATGACGTGTTTTTTTGTAGATGAAAGATCATTGGGTCTTGTTTTTTTTTTGATCCATTCAGCTCCATGTCTTTTGATTTTATATACTCTGATACAAATGGCCAAACTGACTTGTCAATGTCCTCAGTTAGAAACCCTTTGAGGATAAGACCTAAATTCAGGTTGTCTCAACGACTCATTCACCTCTGCTCTCTCTAATCCATTTCATGTATACTCACTAACGGGTAACCATACACCAGGCACTGGTGTATGTGTATGTATACAGTGCTGAATTAGAGAGATGTTCATGCCTCAAAGACTTGTGTATTTGGAGGAGATAGACCATGAACATTTATATTAAATAGCATCATATGGATGATTCTAGGAATGAAAAAAGAGAAAAGTGAGGTGCTATTTTAGATGGGTCATACAAGACTCATAAGAAAGGTTATATATGAGCAGAGACTGAATGAAGTGAAAATGAGTGTCATAAATTTTCTGTTAAATATCACCTTGGTAGAGAAGGCTATAACATAAAGAGACTGAAGTAGGAGTGCATTTGGGAAGTACTCAAATAGGAGAAACAGGGAGGCTGATAGAATATAGTTCAGAGAAGTGCCGTAGGGTCTATATTTTTCCCTGTGACCCACTGTAAGAATTTTAGATGGGAGGCATTTTGAGTGTTGATAGCAGGGAATGATATTACATGATTTACATTATAAAGGATTCCATTCATTGCTTGGGATTAAAGAGAAAAGGGTGGACACAGAGAAGAGCTAGAAGGCTATTGTGGGTTGCAGGGGTCCTGGTGACCATTATGCCTTAGAGCAGGCTGGTGGTAGCAGAAATGGCGAGAATGAATTGGACGTTGGGTGTATTTCATAGGGAAGGCTGAGAGGATGTGCTGACAGATTGTATGTGCGTTTCTGTGAAAGAAGAAAGAGGTCCTAGATGATTCTAAGATATTTATTTGATCTATGGAACTCGGTCAGTTATGGTACCATTTACAAAGATAGAAGATGGAGCAGGTTTGTGGTATAGATAGAAAAAATTTTTTAAACTGAGTTACCTGTTTATCATCTAAGTGAAAGTGTCAATTAAGAACTTGAACTCATGATTCTGAAGTTCATGGCAAAAGTCCAAGGTTCTGATAAAAATTTAGGAACATTACTGAAGATAAAGTATTTATAATTTATGGAAATCATTTGGAAAAATAGTATAGTGTAGTCAGAGAAGAGTAAAAAGTTATGAATTGTGGGGTACTTCATCTTTTAGAGGTGAAGATAAAAATAATCCATCAAAGAAGATAGGAAGGGGTCAGTGAGGTAGGAGAGAAATGGGAAAATGAACTGTCCTCCCCAAAATGAAAAGTGTTTTAAAAGATGGGAATAATTGAGTATAACAGTGCTGCTGTTGAATGAAATGCAGTCATTCCTTTATCGATTGGGGTTCTTCATCCTCAGAGTCAACGAACCTATCTCTGACTGAAAATATTTAAATAAAAAATCATAATTTAACAATAAAAATGCAAATTCTAAAGTTACAACAACTATTTACATAGCATTCACATTGCATTAGATGTTACAAGTAATCTAGATGTGATTTAAAGTGTGTATGTGGGAGGTTATATAAGAGACTTGAACCTGATAGATTTTGGTAGCTGCAGGAGTCATAGAGCCAATTCCCCGTGGATACCAAGATGCCTCTAATATGAGAACAGAGAATTTGCTATTGTACCTGATTTCTGCTAGGGACAGAGACATGTCTGGAGTAGATTCAAAATAACAAATAGACGTGAGAAATGGAGACAACTCTTTTGAGGAGTTTTGCCATAAAGGAAAACAAATCAATGGGGTTACTGTAGAAGAGAGATGGAAGGATAAAGGGAAGATTTTCTCTTAAAATCATAAATCTTTTGCTATGGTAGTGGGAGGAATTCAGTAGCGAATCAAGATGATGTGGGAAAAGAGTGGACAGTACTAGAGAAATATCCTTAAATTAGAAGCAAGTGCTGCAGTACTGAAATTTAAGAGTTTACTTGATAGTAACAGGAAGTCTAGCAGAGTAAGCATATACAGGAACAGACTGAGTCAGTGAAATAAAAAGCAGGATGATTAGCTGGCAGAAAAAAATCTGATAGGGGAAGGTGCAGGTCTGTGTATTAGTCTGTTTTTACGCTGCTGATAAAGATATACCCAAGACTGGGCAATTTACAAAAGAAAGAGGTGTAATAGACTCACAGTGCTATATGGCTAGGGAGGCCTTACAATCATGGTGGAAGGTGAAAGGCATGTCTCACATGGCAGCAGACAAGAGAGCTTGTGCAGGAAAACTCCCATTTATAAAACCATCAGATCTTGTGAGACTTACTCACTAACACAAGAATAGCACAGGAAAAACAGGCCCCTATGGTTCAGTTACCTCACACCAGGTCCCTCCCACACCAAGTGAGAATTATGGGAGCTAAAATTCAAGATGAGATTTGGATAGGGACACAGCCAAACCATATCAGTCTGAAAATGAGGAATTCACATGGAATTGTGGTTACGTTCCTGTCTGCTGTTTAGATCTATTTTTTAAATCACTGGACAATTTAGTATATATATAAAATTTTAAAAAAGATTTGGAGACATATAGAGACTGTAACATATAGAGACAGAGCTGAAATTGTCCAAGGCTTTTGAAAGCAGGGGTCTTAAAACAAAAACAGATTTCAAGGGAGGTTATAAAGGAGGCAGTGTAAGACTAGGGTATGTAATAGTTAATCAGCCAAATATAAATCATGGCATAAATAAGAAAAGAACTGGAGACAGACGCCCTTGAGATGCATGAATAGAAGTTTTATATGCACATTTTTAACATTGTGAATAAATATAATAGAATGACAGAGTGGATTATACGACTTTAGAAATCATATAACTGTGCGTGCGTGTGTGTGTGTGTGTGTGTGTGTGTGTGTATGTATATACTTACATAACCCTTGTCACCAACCAATATGAGAATATGATCAGATCACAAACTGGATTTTCTCCACTGAAAAGTGCATACATGAACATGTGTACAATATCATACATGAAGTATTCACAGGCCAATGGATCAGAATTCTGATCCTACGCCTAAACGTATTCTGAATAAACTGACATGTCCTCTTTCATGCCCGTGGTTGTGTGTTTCATCCTCTCTGCTTGTAATGCTTATCTTCATTTTCTCATCTACCAAGCTGCTGCTCCTCCTCCAAATTTGAAGTTAAGCTTTCCCTTGTCTGTGAAGCTTTTTATGATTCTTAAGAAACCCTAGGGGCACCTTCCTCCTATTAATGTCTGATCTTTCGCTACTAACACTTATCACTTTGCTTTGTAACTGTGGGTTTGCAAGTCTGCTTAATCCATCCTGCTGTGGATTATTTGAAGGCAGGACTAAATCTCTTCATTTCTGAATCATTATTACCTAAATGAGTGCCTGGCAAGTTCTGAATAAATTTTGCAAATAAAAGCGAGTCCTAAAAGAGGTTAGGGAACTTAAGCAAGTCAGTGTCAGAACAAAGCCAAAACTATGGTGTTTTCCTTGCTCAGTTTAAGTTTCTCTTTATTCCTCTTGCATCTATCTGCTTTTAAGGAAGAAAACATTTTTACACCAGAAAATGTCTGGTGGGGCAAAAATGGACTAAAGTGCACATTGAAAGGTCATCTATAAGGATCAGTGCTCCCCCTTGTGGCATCTCAGGAAGGTGGAGGTGAAAGTGACCATGGACTCCTCAAGGTCTGTTAAGAAGCAAGATGGATCTTTAGCTGGGTGAGAGTAACAGTGCCCCGACCTGTGTTCCCCCAGGAAGAAGTTAATCAGAAGATGTTTCCTTTCACCACAAGCAAAAAATTAGCTTTATTTCAAGTCTTCACTCATTTTCATTAGATTCCACAGGCATCTGAGTAGGTTCTTTAGGCAAATATTGTCAGTTACATTATTGAGAATATAAGTCCTCATAATAAGCCATTGAAATAGGTTGTCTCATTCTAATGTTACCAGGTAAGACAACTGAGGTTCAGGATGTTAAAGTAATCCTTGCAAGGGTGGACAGCCTGAAACACTTGTCTTTGAAGTCCTCTATGTAGCATACTTTCTACCACACTCTGCCTGTTTAACAATAAACATTTGGGTTGCTGAAAAACAAGCTAGCGATTCTTGTTGCCAGAAATCTGTTAGCTACCAAGTAAGCAAAGGAAGCTGGCTTTCAGTGGAAAGCTCAGATGAAGAACTCAAAGCTGCTTTTCTCCTGCTGCTTTTTTCTATATGGAGATTGCAAGTTGCTAAAATATTAGCTGAAGACAAGGACTACCCCACTGGGAGGTGGTGGATATGGTGGAAGGACAGCTGAAGGTACAAGGATTTCTCTGTCTGATGCACAAGCTCAGACCTCCCAAGTAGCCAGCGGTTGGAGGAGAAAGGAAAAGTCTTCAGACTATCCTCACGCAAAGGCTCCAGAGCCCAGCCTGAAGCATTTTTCTTATCTAAGACTTAAGACATTTTTTTAACCAAGCCAAGAGATTGAGAGCACACTGCAACCAATAGGGATCTTTTAGGATGATTGGATACTGTCTTTACTGGCATAGGCAAATATCCGCTTTGCTTTATAATGTTTTCATAACTCAGTTTCCTCTCCTCTAGTCCTGCCCCCCTTAGATCTAACAAACACCTAAATCACCACAAGAGCATGATTAACACATTTCCATATCCTGAACCCCTGCAAGGCAACGATCAAAATAATAGCTAACACCTATCAATCACTTACTGTGTGATAAGTACTTTACCTTCATGATTATCTCATTTAATACTTATAGCAAAGTATATTGTGACCAAGACAAGTTCAGAAAACTTGCCCAAGGTTACAATGAGTAGTCAGTGTATCTAAGATTAAAAGTAAATAATCTGACCCCATCACATTACCCAATGAACTAAAAATACAAAAGGTGATCTCCCTGAATACCTGAGGAACTACGTCTCTACCTGTAACCTGCTCCCTTAGTTGCTCAGCACATTTGAGAACCATAGAAGAAAGAGGAAAGCTAAAGCTTCTTATTTCCCTCACTGTACAGCTGGTTAGATTGATGAGTACTAGCCCATGATCTAGCCAGCCATGTATTCCTTAAGAAAAATAATAGTGATTAAAATTACCACTGAGAGATAACATTGCAGAGAGATTTTATAACTGAAAAATTTTGTAAAAAAAAAATACAACTGGGTATGTTTGGTACTTTGATTTTAAGTTGATCTTTTGGTTGCTAATTTGCTTTGTCAATTTCACTTTGAGAAATTCCTGGATATTGTGTCTCCACAACTTTCCAGAGGTTGCCACATCCATCTCTGCCTGTTTTCTTTCCCACAGAATCCCTGCCATCCTTTACTGCTCAGTACTATTTCTAATAGCATTTTCAGTGTTGACCTGAGGGTTGTACCTGTTGTTGCCCTGGTCTCCGCCACCTGGCCTTACTGCACATTAAGAGAGGCTCAAATTTGTCCACACCCATTCTTATCTCAATCAATATGCATGGAATAAGGGCCATCGGTCAAAAGGATTGAGGAAGGATCTTCCCTAAAACACATGGCTGTCAGGGTACAAAGCAGGCTTTGCCAGCAGGGTAGGTATGGGTGATGGGAGAAATTGGCAATGACTGCCACCATTAATATGGCTTGTTACAACCAGAGTGTGGCCGTTGTAACAATCGTGGAAGACAGATCTGTCTTCCAATCTCAACTCTGCCACTTCCGGTCTGTGTGATGTTGAGAAAGTCATTTGCCAATCAGAACTTCATTTTTCTGGACTCTAAAATGAGGATAACACCTACCTAATACCTTTGTTGTGTGGTAAAACAAGTAACAGACTGGGGTCATTCTCTCCTTGAAATTTTAGGATATACAGATTAGGGACCCTATGATGGTTAAGACCACGCATATCAGGCTTCACATCCTAACTTGCTCCACTTAACAACTGTGCAAATTTGACGAATTTTTCTCAACTCCTTGACCCTGTTTCCTCATCTGTAACATGCAGTTGAAGTTACCTACCATATGGAGTATAGAAATAAGACAGTATATATAAGTAACTGCAGTAAGACCTGGCATGTAGATTCTAAATCCCTTTATTTCTTCTACTAAAGCGCCCATTATTCTTGACTCTTTGATACTGGAGAGCAAGAGGGGAAGAGGAGATTGTCCCCAGTAGTGCCCTTGTCTTCTATCTCCTACTTAATAACATAATAATAGCTACTGCTATTCTCACCACTTCTAATATGACTGCTTTGACCACTAGTGCTGCTGCTGCTGCTATTCTGGTATTATTTATTGAGCACGAACTATGTAGCTATATGTAATGCAATGTGCTCTTTACCATGTTATTGATTTTAATCTCAGTGTAACTGCTTTCAATCAAGTTTTTATTGCATGGCCTTGAAAAATAGCCATTCCATTCCTGTCCTGGGTTTTTGCAGTCCAGGGTTAATGCAAGAAGCTTTCATTAGTAAACCATAAACTCTAGAAGGTGTGAGTAATAGGACTCGGTCTATGCATCTTTTCTTTTTATCCATCTCAGCCCCAGCACCTGCTGATGACTCCCTCTCTGAGTGATTTCACAGTTTGTCATCCTAACTGTTCTGAGTTCTTAGTGTTTCACTGCAGCATTTTGCAGGCAAGCATAAATCTCCAAATCTTCAAATTTTGAATCGGCTAGAACAAAATCTCAGCATTGCTTTTTATGCTGTTAATCATTCTCAATTGGTTCTTTTCCTTTTGTCCCAGTCATTATAAATGGCAAAAAACAACAGAAACAGAAAAGCAATCATGAAGCCACATCCTTGGATGTTGTTAGGAGAAAATAAAACAACATTCATTTCTATTCTGTTGAACATGTACTTACTCTAAACAAAAGAAATTGATGAACTAAAACAAACAAAAATGTTTCTCAGCCCTGCGTTAGACAGATAAGCGAGGACAATAAATATCAAGGCTGTTATTTCTTTGTTCCAATTTTCTATCCCTGTTCCTAACTGATATTCTCTAAGGTATCTGAGATTAGATAACTATTAAAGTTTCATTCTGGATTATTTTGGGGTTTTACTGAAAGCTTATTACTTGCAAGCCTTTGGAGGTAAATAAAGTTTAATGTATTACTATCCCGACAGAATGTCAGACCTGAAAAGCATAAGGATGAGGTTTTTCCTGGGGCAACCATCTCATTTTGCAGCTGAGAAAACAGGCCCAGAGTCCCCTGAGATGTGTGTGTGTGTGTGTGTGACAGTTCAGAGGGGACCCTCTTTGTAACACGATACTTTCTGTATACATAGTCCTTTGGCATTCTTTTTAAATTGTGTATGCTGAGTAAGAAGTTACCTTTGAGGTCTTTAAAAAATCAAATTTTTCCACTAGTGTAGTAAAGCAACACTACTATGATCAGATTTGGCTTGTTTATTCCAGCACCCACTGAGACATCGAGGAAGGACAGGAAGGACAGTGGAAAAGTTTGACTAAATATAATTGAGGAATAATCCTCTTTCCTCAGTACAAAGGAGCTTTTCAGAGCCTTATTGCTGTCCTACCTGGCTGGTTATAATTTGCTGGGCATGTAATTTCTGTGTCGGGAGCTGTTCACAAGACAAAAAGCACAGATTGCTATTGGGAGCCTTGTTAATTGTTAATAATTCTTCTTCATTCTAGTCCCCACCCAGAATCCAGAAAAATTTGCTACCAGGTAATGCTAGCTGTTCAAGCTTGAAACTATTTTCAATAGAAACTTTATTAGGAAAAATAATCCAGTAAGTTCTATACACTCCTTCCATCTTAGTTCCCACCATGTTTCTCCCTGTTACCTACAACAATCCTGTGGTGGCTTCCCTTCCCATGTGGTGGCTTCTCCTGCTGCTGGCCTTACCTCCTGACATAAATGCTGAAAGTCACCTCCTCCAGTATCCTTCCAAGTATCTAAACACTACGGTGGCTCTGTCTTTGCCTGCTTCAACTGAAGAGTGAGAAGCTTCTGGTGGCTGTGTGATTGTCAGCTTTGTTAATTAGTAGGTCATAGTCTAAGCATTTCTCCTCACCCTCACTGGTGCCATAACTCTTGGTGACCAGATTGAACATCCGATGAGGCCCAGAGGGCAAAAGTGACTCTACCAGTGACTGGACCCTGCTCATGGCAGGCCAGGATTAAGGGGGGGACTTTGCTCTCCTATTTTTCAGGTGAATGTTACACTGTTTGAGACAACTTAAGGGAAGTAGAGAGAGTGAGTGTGCCCCCTGGTAGTTTTAATCTGGTCAGGCAGAAGAACACAAATGGAGCAAAAGTCTCAAAGCAAAACCTCTTACTCAAAAGACAGTGTGTCTTAGTAATTAAGAACAAATGATTTGAAGTTAAGGAGGCCTATGCCTGAGACCCAGATGTGCTTCTAACCCACTGTATGGCCTGGAAACATCGTTTAACCCCACTGAACCTTAATTTTCTAACCTCTGGATGAAATCTATGATACCTACACCATGAGGTTGTCTTGAAGAACTAGATGATGTAATGTGTATAAAAGACCTAGATGATCACCTAATATGCACAGGCCAAGATGGTAATTATCACTATCAAGATGAGCCCTGCTGCGTTCTCACCCTTATTTGCCCTTTTTAGTTTTTTGAAAACCTTGCTATTTCAGTCATCCTTTTGAGATGCTTTTCAAGGATTAGCTCTTAAGATCACATGGCCCAATTGGCCATCTCCCAGAAGGTTTAACAAAACCTGACCAGGTTGCCCCTTTCACCTTCTTGCAACCTCTTCCCCTATCCCCAGGGGTCCTCTCCACCACTCCAGATCATTCCTTTAGTGTAGAGCTGGGCAGCAAAGTGGATATCTCTGAAGGAGGTAGGAAGCCAGACTCTACTGCTTACATTGCCATGATCCCGCAGTGCATAAAGGAGGAAGACGCTCCCTCAGATAATGAGAATGGCAACTGTATGAGCCCAGAGTTCTACCTGGGCTCTCCCCAGCATAGCCCCTCTGCCAGGGGCTCCCCAAATAGAAGCCTCCCATCTCCAGGTGTCCTCTGTGACTCTGCCCGCCCCAAACCTTATGACCCTCCTGGAGAGAAAATGGTAGCAGCGAAAGTAAAGGGTGAGAAAATGGATAAGAAACTCAAAAAAATGGAGCAAAACAAGACAGCAGCCACTAGGTACAGCCAGAAGAAGAGGGCGGAGCAGGAGGCCCTCACTGGGGAGTGCAAGGAGCTGGAAAAGAAGAACAAGGCTCTAAAAGAGAGGGCAGATTCCCTGGCCAAGGAGATGCAATACCTGAAAGATTTGATAGAAAAGGTCTGCAAGGCAAGGGGAAAGAAAAGGGTCCCCTAGTTGAGGGTAGTCAGGAGCGCAAGGTGCTTGTACATAGGAGTCTCTCGCTGTAGCTGTGTGTTCGAATAAATTATTTTGTAGTGAAAGAAAAATAACCACATGGCTTTGAATCAGATACAGCTAGGTTTGAGTTTGGACTACAGTGTTTGTTTACTATTTATGCTACTCTATGCAGGTCAATCTACCTTTACAAAGCTCAGTTTTTGAACTTGCAAAACAGGAATAATACACATATATCTTGATAGAGATGGGCCTAGTTAGAAGATTGAATTAGATTAAATGAGACTATAAATTTTAATAAAAGCAAGGACCCTATCTTGTACCACATGGTGTTCCTTGCATCTGGCAATGTGTCTTGCATGGAATTAGTGCTCAATAGATAGTTGTTAAAGGAAACAATTAATAATGCATGAATACAAGCTTGTAATACAGTATCTTGCACATATTAAGTGGAAACTATATCTGTCATATACCAGTTAAAGTATAGGAGGGGGAAACAAAAGTGTAGGGCCATTTAATATTTCTTGCAATAGACATCCATCTGGAATGGCCTCTCAGACTACCAAGATGCCTCCGTAAATGACTCTGACTATTCTTAATAAATAAATGCCAGGAAGACAAATTTCAGAGAAGGTGGAGTCAGAAGAAATTAACAGCTGATTCTGAGCCTCTTGTAGAGACCTCCAGACTGGACAGAATAAGTTCTGACATTCGAGAATGCTTAGCGGGTAGGCGAGAAGAGATGCTACTGAAGGATGAGAGCTTGCATGAAACAGGTGACTATAAGGAAGGGAAAAGGGTTGAAATTATGAGTACCTGGCCTTAAATTCTTCCTTGAAACCTGGAAAAGTCACATCGTTTTGGTCTCAGTTGCCCCATTTATAAAACAGAAATAACAGTACTTTGCAGGATTATCGTGAAAATTAAATGAGAGAGTGGATATAAAAGTGACTTGCAAAACTCTGAACCAAAATAAGGAGTTATCCCTTGAAGATGGAACTTTGCTTTCTTCATGATTCTATTTAACTCAGAGTCCTGCTTTGGTCCATATTGACCAAACCTATTTAGGTTTCCATCTTAAATCATTAGTATTCTCTGGATTTTATGGGCAGAATATAATTCATATCAATACAGCAATATTAATTTTATCTGTTTTGAACAAAGTACATTTTTAATTCTCTGAAACCCTCCCTGACTACCCTGGAAGTCACTTACTCATACATCTGGCTACCACATCACCTTAAACTTCTCTTTCCTCTTGACTACATTTGTTATCTGTTATCTCTTAAAGAACTTAAGCTGGAATTCTGGTGCTTTAAGAAACTCTCATTAAATGACTGTTGAAAAAATAAATATATATTTGAACTAAGAATGAAGTATGTTGCCAATTATGTGGTAGACAACATAGAGCATAAATCAAGTGTGTACTACATATAGAGCATCCCTAGCCTAAAAATTCACAATCCATGCTGCTTCAAAACTCACAGCTCTTTGATGGCGACATAGTGACAGAGGTGGAAAATTTCACACCTAATCTTATGTGATGAGTTAGTCAAAACACAGAACATTGTTTCATGCACAAAATTAAGAAAAGTATTGTATAAAATTACCTTCAGGCTGTCTGCATATGGTGTATTTGAAACAAATGAATTTCATGTTTAGATTTGGGTCCCATTTCTAAGATATCTCAGTTATGTATATGCAAATATTCCAAAATCCAAAAAGATCTGAATCCAAAATACTTATGGTTCTATGCATTTCTAATAAGGGATACTTAACCTGAATATATATAAAGAGCATAGATAAAATCCTATATTATGGTCCAAAATATCAGCCACAATGGAACCCCAAAGAGCTGATCTCACTGGCACTGTGGCACCCACAAAGCTAGTATTGTGTAATCACAGACAAAAAGACAAAATATACTTGAATTCTGGTCCTAATCTGAAACAACCTTGCTCTAAAACTTTAGATCAGTACAACTCATCTCAAGACATTAGTCTTATTATGTATCAGTGTGGGGGTTGAATCTCTTTTCCTTTATAAACTTTGATTGTTTTCCTAGAGTTGACAATTGCCTACTTGTTTTATTCCTTTGGCATTTTTATCTCCTTTATTAATTTTCCCCAAGCACTTCAACAGAATTGCCTAAACCTCTCAGTACTATTTATCATATTGTTAAATTCACTGCCTAACTCCTTCTGGAATCCTCTCTCATAATGTTATAATCTTAAAGGGTTGCTGCGTATGCCTTCCACACAGCTTCTATGCAAGATAAGCGGAAGATTTACCCTGGAACTTTTCTTCAGAATCATCCTGAGGATTATCTGTTTCTCTCTTTTGTATCTGGAATATGTTTCTTTCTGTCAGCTTCTGTTTTCTTTCAGGAGGAGCGTATCTTCTAATAACGTATTGAGAAAGAGAGATGAAGGAATGACACTTCTGAGACTGCTTAAATAGCAGTGCCTTTATTATATCCTTATGCTTTACTTTTTAGCGATTGAGATATAGAATCATAGATAAGAAATTATTTTCCCTTAGAATCTTGTAGTATTGTTCTACTTCTGTCAAGCTTTTGGTGTTAATATTGCACATTTAAAGTTATTTAATTTTAGTTTCAGTGCTGATATTTCTCTTTGGAAGGTAGTACATATTTCCTTTATATTTGATGTTCAAAATTTTCATGATGATATGTCTTGACCTGAGTTTTTGCTTTTGTATTTTTATTGTTTTGCATTTTTTGTTAGAGACCATGTTTGTTTATTTAGAAACTATAATTTCATTTCTTGATAATATCCTTCCCAATAGTGTCTCTTTTTTCCTTCTGGAAGGTATATTAGTCAGATGATAGATTTCATAGGTTGAATCTCAAATTCAGTGCTTATCAAACTGTATCATGCATTAGAATCACTTGGACGCTTGTTAATACACAGATTGCTGGACTCACTTCCAGTCACTGATTAAGTTGGGATGATGGTTGACAATTCCATTTTTTAACAAGTTTATAGCTTACTGCTGCTAGATATCCTTTGAGAACCAGTGTTCTAATTTTCTTATTCTGATATCTTCTGTTTTTCATATCATTTTCTTTTTATTCCCCTCTGAATTAATACCTACTCATTGCTGTCTCAATTTTTGGTCAGATTTTAATTTTAGCTATAATATATGTCCTAAAGCTCGCTCTTTTGTGTTTTATGGTTAAGAATATAATACAATTTTTAAAAAATAGAAGTAAAATTTACATACAGTAAATATAGATATCAATTGTATAATACAGTTATGTGTATCTCTAACCAACATCCTGATCACAGCATAGAATTTTTTTCTCCTGGATGTTTCCCTGTGCCCACTTCCAGTCATTCTTCATTCCAACATGTCACAACTGTCCTGATTTACATAACCATAAATTAGTTTGTATGTGAATTTCATATACATGTAAACATGCATTATGATCTCTTTTGTGTCTGACTTCTTTACTGAACATATTTTTGAGGTTCATCGATGTTGCATTTATTGTGGTTCATTCCTTTGTATTGATGAGTAGTATTCCATTATATAAATATAATACAATTTATCTGTTTTTCTAGTTGATACATTTGTATATCATAATATATAGAAATTGACTACCCCTGTCCCTAGTTTTTGGCTATGATAAATAGGGCTTTTATAAGCAATATTGTACATATACGTTGTGGACATTTTTATTTCTTGTTAGACTAGAATTTCAGGCTTGTTGGGTTAGCAGTATATTCAAACTTAAACTGCCAAAAAGTTTCCTAAAGTAATTGTATCACCTTATGCTTTCACAGGCAATCTATAGGAATTCTTTTTGTTTTGTATCTGACATTCGATGTTATCATTATTTTAATGTTTAAATTTCTAGTTATTGTGAAGTGGTATTGCATTGTTATTTTAATTTGAATTTGCCTAATAATTTATAATTAAAAAATTTTTCTCACGTAATTTTTGACCATTTAAATATCTTATTTGATGAAGTATCTGTCAAAACTTGTGCCAACTTACAGATTTGTAGAAATTCTTTACCTATTTAAGATAAAAATTATCTTTCAAATACAAGTATTGCAAGTACTTTTTCTCAGACTATGGATTGTCTTTTCATTGTTAACAGTGTCTTGGATAAAAGTTTTAAATTTTGACAGAATGGGGAAAAATAATTCTTCTGTGTATTGCTTTTTGTACACTAAGAAATCTTTGTACACAAGTTGTAGACATTATTCTAAATTTTTATTTGGATGGTTTATTATTTTAGTTCTTATATTTAGTTCTGTAGTGTAATTTTTTCTTTTTATTAATTTTTACATAATTATATGGGGTACAACATGATGTTTTGATACATGTATAAATTGTGCAATCATCACATCAGAGTAATTAGCATATCCATTACATTAAACATTTATTTCTTTGTTGAGAAATTTGTTAACATTTAGTATTTCTGTGTAACACCATTCAAAAACCTGTCTTTTAAGAATTTTGAAATATACAATATATCTGACTATGGAACAGACTGACGGAACTTATTTTTCCTATTTAATTGTAGCTTTGTACCCGTTGGCCAATCTCTAACCATCACCCACCCTCACCCTAACCCTTACAGTCCTCTGGTAACCATTATTCTACTCTCTACTTCAGTGAGAACAACTTTTTAAATTCCACATATTAGTGAGATCATGTAATATTTGTCTTTCTGTGACTGGCTTGTTTGACTTAACATATGTCATTCAAGTTTATCCATGTTGCCATAAATGACAGGATTTCATTCTTTTTGTGGGTGAATAGTATTCCATTGTGTGTGTGTGTATGTGTGTGTGTGTGTGTGTGTGCGTGCGTGTGTTTATTCATTTGTTGATGGATATTTAGGTTGATAACATATGTTGGCTATTGTGAATACTGCAGCAATAAGCATGGATGTGCAAATATGTCTTCAACATACTGATTTCATTTTCTTTGACTATATACCCAATTGTAATGATATTTCTGGATCTTACAGTGGTTCCATTTTTAATTTTTTGAAGAAACTCCATACTGTTTTTCATAATGGCTGTGTTAATTTACATTCCCACCAGCA